GAGGCCAACGTGTGGCGATTATTCAAATTGCTCTCCACTCTTAGAAGAAAAAAGGAAAAGGCGCACATCCGGGTGGAAAAGGGAAAAAAGAGAATATTATAGATATCTGGAATTGATAGGATTTTTGATTTTTTAGATTATATTGTTATTTAGTTTACAAATATGGCTAGTTATTGGTTCAAATTGCTTAAGCCTTTGACTATTAGATTGGCTAATTTACGGTCCAGGTTCCAGGTTAACTATTAGATCCAGGTTAACTATTAGATTAGCAACTTGAATTTCTGCTCAAATTTGTTTCAAAATTTACCCAAATTTGCTCAAGCAAGTCGTAAATTAGATAACTTTTATTAGATGGATTAGATTTTATTAGATAACTAAAGAGAAGTCGTGTATTAAAGATGTTTTATGGAAAATAAGAAAACGTTTACGAGCTTTCAAGTTGCCAATCTAATATTAACAATAGCTAGAACTAGAACTAGAGCTAGAATTAGAGCTAGAACTAGAGCTAGAACTAGAGCTAGAGCTAGAGCTAGAACTAGAGCTAGAACTAGAGCTAGAATTAGAGCTAGAACTAGAGCTAGAACTAGAGCTAGAGCTAGAGCTAGAACTAGAGCTAGAACTAGAGCTAGAGCTAGAGCTAGAACTAGAGCTAGAGCTAGAACTAGAACTAGAGTTAGAGCTAGAGCTATAAACAACTTATTACTTTACTTTCTAAATTTTTAAATATTAGTTGAAACTAGAAAGGTTTTACATAAGATTGTTGAAATCATGTTGAAAAACCAAAATTCTCAAAAAAACGCGTTGTTTCCTTTCCTGCGATCAACAGATAAGCTGAAAATTGCTTTGCTTTCAACTTTCAAGAGGTAGAAAAGTCTAGAAGTTTTCTAAAGATTAGTAAGTTCAAAAAACTAATAGTAAGTTTAGGTTAGGTAGGTTTAGGTAGATGCAAAATGTAAAAAAAAAGTACAAATCAAGGCGTTATTTGTAGGGAATTTTGTCAGAAACACTTTTCTAATCAGCTTTTTGAGTGGAGTAAAGCTAAAGCGTTAACTTTTTTCATTTCTAAAACTAAACTTTTTTAAAACAGAATTGTTGATGCCATTTGCAATGCAAATAACTACAGAAATATTCTGTAAATGTATAAAAGCACCAAGCTTAGCGAGAAGCACCAAAAGAAAAGCACCAAGTTTAGCGCTAAATTTTTTCTATACTGAATTCTTCAGCTATTGCCAATGTGTTTTTTGAAGTGCTAATTTCTCAAACATCTTCTTGTACAAGTAATATACTTAACTTTATCATTCAAATCATTATGAATCATTCACATCATTGTGAATCATTCACATCATTATGAAATCATAGTCTAAACTCTAATTGTAAGCCCATTTGCCTAATCATTTCCAGCTGACTTAAGAATTTCTTTTTCTTTTCAAACAAAAAAACAACTAGCTAAGTGCCGGATGTGTTCTAATCGGGAAAAAGGTTGAAAACAAGTTTTTCAAGAAAAAAACGAGAACTACTTTATAAGTTATTCAACTTGTTGGGATTTTCTCAATTTCCCCTCGTCACGTATTCTCTCTACCGTATCCCTCTACTCAATTTGCATTTGAGACATTGTAATTGGCATCGTTTAGACGCTCTTTAGGATTTCGTGAAAGAAATAGCCGAAAATCTACGAGAAATAAGGAAAATTGAGCTTTTGAGTCACGTGTAAAGAGAAACTTTAAATAAAGATAAAGATAAAGATATTAGGGTGTACGGAATGAAAATACCCTCAACTACGATTGCAATTTTTTCGGTGTAGCGAACAGCTTCGTGTCTGATTTTTGTTTAAAAAAACGCAAATTCCATGATTCATTCAAACAAAACGAAAAATTCCTGTTTTCTAAAGGGCACCTGAACGTTAGAGGAACGTTAAATGGAACGTTAAATGGAACGTTTAATGGAACGCTAAACGTTAGAGGAACGTTAAATAGAACGTTAAACGTTAGAGGAACGTTTAATGGAACGCTAAACGTTAGAGGAACGTTTAATGGAACGCTAAACGTTAGAGGAACGTTTAATGGAACGCTAAACGTTAGAGGAACGTTAAATAGAACGCTAAACGTTAGAGGAACGTTAAATGGAACGTTAAAAGTTAGAGGAACGTTAAATCTTCAACAGCACTAAGAAAAAACGGAAAATCCCTTAAAATCCTTTAAAAAACCCCTTTTTCTTTTCGATGACTAAAGAAACAAAGCAAATAGGTGTCGATGCTGAAAATTGAGGCCAGATCAAAATCTCATTCACTCCATTTTCTTGTTCCTTTTCCCTCACGCAAGCGGTTTCTCTTTAGAAACGATTAAGTAGAGAAAAAGGAATTGAAAATTGGAAAAGTAATAATTTCTACAAAATCTTTGAATACTTTTCGAATTAATAAACTACTTGATTTGGGATTTTGAGTTGAACTCTACCCACCACAAGCTTTGAAGCTAGATCTTCTTCGCAAAGAAATACTTTTTTACAATGAGATGGTAAAACCTTTCGGAGTAACTTTTCACAATGGTCAATTGAAACCTCTCACACAGGGAAAAGTCGTAGAAGAAAAGTTTTTCATTCACAAAATCACTTTCACAATGGCAAGTCGTTTGAAAGAAATTGAAATTCGTAATGGAAAATTGAAAAATTCCATTAAACTGCCATTAGATTTGATTTGAAATTGATCAAACTCTAACTGAATTAACTAAACTATAGATTGCAACTCTTTGGTCGTTACTCTTTCTCGTTACTCTTTGAAACGTCGTTACTCTTTGAAACGTTACACCAACGCCGCCTTATCATCAATTTAGTGGAATGCTTTAAGATTGTTAAATTGAGGCATTCATCCTGACCCCCTCTTTTCTGACCTCTTTGAATTTGGCTCTCTACGGGGTTCTCCAGAATTCGGTTCTCCAGAAGGAGCCTTTCTACTACACCAACCTTCCGTTTCCTCTAAAAGCTCCCACAGTTTCTTTTTTAATCGAGTTATTAAATTCTGGAACCTTTTACCCCCTCATTTTCGTGATATTCCCACCTTGGCTAGATTTAAAGCCGCAATTTCTGCAATTGATTTGACTGCTCTGGCTAGATTTAAAGCCGCAGCTTCTGCAATTGATTTGACTGCTCTGGCTAGATTTAAAGCCGTAGCTTCTGCAATTGATTTGACTGCTCTGTGATTCTTTCTCGAGGTATCTATTTATCTTTTGGGTGTGTTTTGGGTGGTGTCCTGGGTAATTATTGTCATTTTGTTTTATCGCTATTCAACTGAATAAAGCATATTATATATAAACACTAACTCTAACGAAATAAATGAAACTCTAACTAACACTCTGGAAAAACTCTAGATTAATCCGTGATTCTAAGATGCTCCAAGAAAAAAAAACCATCGTAATCCGACTGCTTTGCAAAGCTTGTCCAAAGCAACCACTTGTCTGGAGATCTGTTTAAGAATGTCTCGAGTCAAGAGTTGTAAGTGCTTGAAATCTTACTTATTATAAACCTTGGCCCCAAACTTCGTTAATGTTACGAGCCGTTTCAGCTGCATTGCGACCGAGTTCGAATATTTCGCTTGACTTCCCCTCAGGGGCGCCTCCCCCCCCCCCCGCGGACGGCCACCCCCCCTTTTCGCCAAAACCCGCCGGATTCGGAGCACCCCCTCTCCCCGAAACCCCCCACTTTGTTAATAGTGCCCTAGCAACCGAGTTTGAACTCATAAAAGAGAATCTGGCGAAAGTTAGTTTCGGACATCTAAAACGGTGAAGCTTAAAATTCGCGAAAAATTTTATTTTCAACAAAATTTAAAAGCATGGTTAAAGAGAGCGCGAACTCAGCTTTCTAATGGTATATAATATTACAAGGTACAGAGCATACTTTATTGAGGAAAATGTACCCAAATAATAAACAATACAAAACGCTCATTTATTTCCGGACAACCTAATATTTCCTTCGTCCTTTCTTTCTTTTTTTTCTTCTTCCCCTTGTCTTTTCTTCTTTCTCTTGACAAGTTAAGGTACTGGATAGCTCAGTGGCTAGAGCAATTGCCTTGAAAGCAAAAGGTCGAGGGTTCAGTTTCCTCTCCGGAAATCTAGTTTTTCTTGCTAATCCCTTCACTTCTTTATTAATTTAGCTGTTTCCCTAAAAAGATATACTGTAGCTTTGCTGAAAGCACGTTTTAGAGAACTCAATCGAGAAGAATGCGATCCATTTGTCAATAAAATAAAGGTTATACTGCTGTCTAATTTAAATCAAAAGAAATTCCCCTAAATTCACTTTTGAAAACCGTTATGAACTGTAAATTGCAAAGAATCGAGTTCATTGAAGAAGAAAAAAAGGAGGAAATCCCGATTCCTCTCCTCAATTTCTTTTCCATTTCATTCAGAGGTCACTTCTTTTCCTTTTCCCTACTTTTCTCACTTCAAGAAGCGGTTTTCTGTCAGTGCATATCCGGTAATTCTCCCCATTCATCAGCTCTACTCCCCTCAAATGAGCGTTGATCATTGAACAACCAAAAAAAACACGCAAAAATGGGGAATAAGGTTTAGATTTTATTTTAGTTTTTGTCTTGTTTGTTGAAAAGATTTGTTAAAGAATTTTCTGGGAAATTTTAGCACGCCAAGTTGTCAAGTTCGATAGTTTCACACCAAAAAAACCATTTTCCAACGTTTGATCATGTTGAGACAACATCGGGATTCTGAACTAGCTTAAAACATAGGCAACTACGTTATATTCTAAGGCAACGATAGATCAAGGATTGTGTACGGGATCTAGCCTTATCCAGCCATTCAGCCTTTCTTTTCCAACGTTTGATCCAATCCAATCTCCTAATTCCCTCCATTTGCTAACGATTAGTTCTATTGTAGTCAAAAAGATATTCAAATGTTTTTAGTGAATGAATACTTACTGTAACAGTACTGTAACGTTAGAATTGCTTTGCAAATATAAGCATTTATATCTTATCCCAAATATTCAAATATTTATTTCATCTACTGTTGTCCGGGATGTCCCATTTGTCCCATTTGTCCCATTTGAGTGGGTTGTCCGAATTGTCCTTGTTGTCCTATTGGAGTGGGTTGTCCCATTTGTCCCATTTGTCCCATTTGTCCCATTTGTCCTTGTTGTCCCATTTGTCCTTGTTGTCCCATTTGTCCTTGTTGTCCCATTGGAGTGGGTTGTCCCATTTGTCCTTGTTGCATTGGTTGGTTGGGGAGCTCTGGTTGAACGGAGAGCACTTGTTGCTTTGATTGTCCAGGTTGGGCAACTTGTTGCATTGGTTGGGTGGGAGTCAAGATTGGTTGAGGCTGTGGGAATGGCTGGATTGGGAGTGGTTGCGATTGTTGAGGTTGAGGCACTGGCACTGGTTGAGGCACTGGCACTGGTTGAGGCACTGGAACTGGTTGAGGCACGGGCACTGGTTGAGGCACTGGTTGTGGAGTATTGCTGTCACATTGTCCATTCGAGAAACAGCAGGCACAAGCTGGCGCATTGTCGATCGACGAGATGATGTTGATGCCGGTGACTGGAGCCTGAATTTGCCGATACTTAGAAAAATCTGTGAACTCTTGGGCAGTAACCTGACTGACGCATAGACTTGGACTATCAGAATTTAGAAAATGAGGGGTTAAGAAATATCAACGATGTTCACAAATGCTTAGAATGAAAGATCAGTAAATCTAGCATCAGCCAGTTACAGGCAAGTCACAGGTTTCTTCGTGACTAATTTATTTATTCATTTATATTACAGGGTGCGTCACAATTACCGCCTCACCTCTCTTAAAATAGAATTTAGCTATTTTCCAAGAAAAACTCTTCTAAATTTTTGTTTTTTCTTAATTTTTTTGTTTTCTTTGCTCTAACGTTTGCTGTTTTCACCGAAAAAAAAAAGTTTAATTTAGTGATAGCAAAGCGTAATCTTCACAGAGCTTCGATCATCGACTTGCACGCTAAAGGCTATGAGACACGTGAGATTGTTCGATGTCTAGGAGTTGATAGAAGTGTTGTGATTCGCGTAGTTAAACGATACAAGGAGCTTTGAACTTGACGAGCCCTGGACGAGCCCTGGACGAGGAAACAAGAGAGCCGTTACCATCAAAGCTAATCTCAAGAGGTTCCGCAAAAAGATCAGGCGCAACCCCGCGCGTTCCGTTCGTCAAATGGCTCTTGAAATGAGAATCAGTGAACTGTCGGTGCGTTGAATTGTTCGAAAACATCTTAAACTTAAAACCTACAAGAAAAATAAATGTCAAGGATTATCGGCAGCTCAAAAAATTTGCCGTAAAGACCGAAGCCAAGACCTTCTGAATCGTTTTCCGGAACAAGCTCGTCGCAGCATTCTCTTTAATGATGAGAAGATATTCACAGTTCAGCAAACTCTTAATAAGCAAAATGATCGAGTACACGCTGCTTCCAATACACAGGTTTCTGTTCCGCAGAGTGCAAACCCTGATTCAGTAATGCTTTTCGCAGGGCGCAGGGGTAACAGCGGATAGAAAGCCTACAAGAAAAATGAATGTCAAGGATTATCACCATTTGCTTGAATGATACCATATTGACCAGCAGAGAAAATTGAGCTTATTGCTATGATATTAGATTGAATACCACTGTAAATACTACCGTAAATACTGTAATAGTATCTCATGCCCATAATGACAGTGTGAAGCGTTCCATAGCCTGACTTTGAACGCGTTTTTCTCGACACTGGTTTATGCTACAATGCACGCTTAGTGATCAAAAAATAGCTGAAATTCAGGGCTATTTTTTGATGCCAAAGACGCATCTGCCGGTGGGGTACTATTACAGTATTTACGGTAGTTATTTTATGCGAAAGTAACTCACAGGCCACATGAGTCCCAAGTGAAGGGTTTTCTCTTGACAACAAGCATTGCAATCGGCCAACACGCCGGCTTCACGCGAGCATTGATATCCATCGCGTCCGAATTTCTCCTCGGGTGTCTCCACGTCACGGCAGGCTAAATAAAATTGTGTAATAGAAAATTTGGTACTTCTTTAGTACTAAATTGTACCAGCTTAGAATCTTCTTTAGTTTCAAAACGATTTTGGCAAACTTATGTCACTGATTTATTAGGTACATGCATAAGAAATGCGGATTTCAACATTTTCATAAATTTTCAACGATAGAAACCTGAAATCGATGAATGTTATCAATGAATGTTATAAACTATTTGAAAGTTGTAAATCTCCTCTAAAAAATAGGCTAAAACGTGTTTCAATTGATCGAACCATTGAAGAAATTTCGAGAGCAGCGAAATGCGAGTGACCAAAAAAGGAATCGAGTCACTTTCGAGCACTTTTTGAAAACCCCACTTTCACAAGAGTTCGGTTTTGGCTATATAGTGGAAAATGCCCTAAAATATCAATAAAACCGCCCTAAAATCTCATTCAAAATAATTAAGAGTTGGGATCATTTCATGGGAAAACTTTGTTTTTACACAAATTTTTCTTTTTTGTGAAAAACCGGTTTTTTTTTGACAATTTTGAGAGTTTTGAACTTACGCTCTATCTAAATTTCTGTAAATGCATTTTCGTTAGACTTTTTTTAATGAATTCATATATAGTTATCCTTTTTTTTTAAATCTTTAAATTTTGGGAAGCTAAAGCTCTATTTTGACCACACTAAACTTGTCCCTAAAGTGACTCGATTCCTTTTTTGGTCACTCGCATTTCGCTCTCGAAATTTTTTCAATGTTTCGATCAATTGAAACACGTTTTAGCCTATTTTGTAGAGGAGATTTACAACTTTCAAATAGTTTATAGCATTCATCGATGACACGCATCGATCTCAGGTTTCTATCGTTGGAAATTTATGAAAATGTTGAAATCCGCATTTCTTATGCATGTACCTAATAAATACAGTCGAAAACTTGTTCTCTGGTGTGTACCTTGTGCTCAGCAATGTAAACACGTTTTCACTGGCGTATTTAAAAAGCTAATAAGAAGAGTTTACTTCAACTTTTAAGCACAATTCTGGTAAACAAACAGCAAATACTTTTGAATTGAGCCAGCCAACAAGTTCTATTTGGCCAAAATCAGCATTTCTTATGCATGTACTTAATAGTTATCTTAAACTTGTCCAATTTAAACTTTAAAGCATTATTAGATAGCTAAGGCTTTGTAGATTCAAATAGTTTTTGAGCTTTTCAAAATCTATCACAAAAAGTGTTTAAATTGTGAATTGAAGTTTGGCAAAGTCTAAAGTACCGACAGTACATACTAAAGAAGTACCGACAATTTTTTTAACACTTTTTAGATTTGTGATATCTTTCAACTCACTATTGCAGTTCGGGTCAAGCTTCCAGATGGCAAGTGGTGGGAAAGCGTCTCCACGGGGATGATCCCACTGAAATTTTTTGATTTGACACTTGTGAATAAGTTTTTGTTTAATAGACTAAATAAGCGAATTAAGCTTAAGGTTTTAAATTTGATATTTTAGTTTTAAAATCATTTTAAACATATCTATTAGTCTATTATCATCTTTTCAGCTTTTCAGCTTTTCATCAAATACAATTTGACCGCAAATAAAGCAAATGAATTTCCAAATCGTTGGTTAAAGCTAGATCAAAGTCAGCAGTACTTGAAAAGTCGAGCATTTTGATTGTAAGCTAAGAAAATGCTAGTTTTTAAGTATTTAAATCTATTGGGTTGTCCAGTTATGAATGCGCGTTTTTACTATTTTGTAAATTTCTCACGATATCGAACAGATGTATATGAGTGTTATATATCATTCGAAAGCTGAAGATCTCCTCTACATTTTGATATAAAAAGTTTTTGAATTTATTCAACTTTTTGGAAAATGGACTGCACAAAGGGAGAGGTCGTTTTCAAAAAAACCCATTCCAGCTTAGCTGTTCCTCAAGTTTTATGGTGTAAAATAACCACCCAGAAAAAAAAGATGCTCTGAAGTTGTTATATTTTTTTAAAAGTTGTATTGATATATCTATTGGCCAAACATCAAACGGTTAACTCAATTTCAGCGGAGCCAAAACTAGATCCAAAGGCACCCTTCCATTTTTTGGCCACCTCTTCTTCTGTGCAGTCAATTTGCCCAAAAGCTGGACAAATTCAAAAGCTTTTTATATCAAAATGTAGAGGAGATCTTCAGCTTTCGAATAATACTCATATATATCTTTTTCTCGATTTCGGTATCTTGAGAAATTTACAAAATAGTAAAAGACGCGCATTCATAACTGGACAACCCAATAAAAACCTTTCAATTTTATGAATGCAAGACTAGGACTTTATATTTTCTTTGTAAAACTCACAAATTCGGCGGCCACCGAAACGAGGCACGGGAGGAGAGCGATCAGGAATTTCATTCTCAGACAATTTCAATAATCTTTCCCATTTTCAAATCTCAATTTATAGCCATTTGCCTTGAAGACAAGCATTGTTTTATTTTGTCTACGAATCGATTATCGGGGAATGCCGCTCGTCAAATCATTTCATTTCAATAAGACGATCAAAGATGGGCAATTTTGATCGAGAAATCTTCTCCAAGCTCTGAAGCAATCTTAATTATAAAAAACGAAGTTTCCAAATTTATCTAGAGCAATTAAATCCAACACCAACACCAGTTATTCAATAAAATGAATAACTCTAATCAATTCTCGACCCTGAAAACCTCTGGGTACAGCTAAATTTCTTCTTTTTGTAACATCTACGAAGCAAAAGAGAAATCCTGTAAATGCCTGGCAAAGTGTTCTTTGTGCGGCTGCAAAATCGCTTGTCTGGCATCTGGCAATCTGGTAAACTGCTTTGACATATAAGGCTTTCGTTTTGGAATCTTTAAAGAGGAAGGAGCGGTCAGCGAACGAGTCAACCGCTCGTTTTTCGGCGTCATTATGCCCAAATCCCTGGGATCAATTTTTGCTTTAAATTTAGCTATATTTTTCTACAAAATTGCAAGAGCAGTACGGTCTAAGTTGAGCGTATTTTCTCTTTGATTTTCCCAAGATTCGTTAATCAAATCAACCTCCATTTACAGAGCAGGATTATTGCAACAGGAAATCAATTTTAGTTCCAACAATTCGACATACTTAAAAAAGGTCTTCTTCCGTGAACCAAAAATCACTTTGGCAACAGGATTTGGTGCTTTATGCAAAATAATGCTAATGCACACGGCTCGATTGGTTCAGGGCAGCTTTTTTCTCGATTTGGCCACCTTTAATGGCCACTCTCAAGTCCCGATCTTAATCCGATGGATTTCAATGTTTGGAATGTTCTTGAAGCAAAAACGTGCTCAGCATCGATTCGCTAAAGAAATCTCTTCAAAAAGCATGTGATAAACTCGATCCCGCTTATCATTTGGCCACGTTAAATGCATTTCCCAAGCGTTACCAGGCCTGCATTTCTGCTCATAGAGATCTTTTTTTAAAAGGAACCAGTTTTTCTTGTTTAATATATCTTTAAAAAATATTGGTTTGCAATAATCCTGTACTATTGTACTCAAAAAAACCAAATATTGGTTGCAATAATCCTATTGTACTTCAAAAGTGTTTGCAATAATCCTGGTTTGCAGCTTTGCAATAATCCTGGTTTGCAGCTTTGCAATAATCTTGGTTTGCAGCTTTGCAATAATCCTGTACTTCAGAAGTGATCTTCCCATTCACCACCGGTTTTCGATTCTTGAAATCGACTTCAGTCTAGTCATCTGAGAGTTGAAATGTGAAAGCTGCAAAGATCAGCTTCAGATCTACAGTAACTCACATAAATTTCCAAAGCATTTCCACGGAAACTCCTTTTTCCTTTCCTACAAAAGCTTATGATCGACTCTGGTTTTTGTGGTGGACACACATTTCGAGCATGTTTGCAGAAATCCGCACCGGGACATCAGCATTAAAAAGCATAGAACCAATCCCGCAAGGAAATATTAGCAATACTGGAAAAGAAAAGAGAAAAACAATGAAGCCTTTTGCGGGAATTTCACGAGATCTCTTTTTCAGGATTTCCGAGAAAAGCCAAAAATGGACGCGAAAATGGACCTAAAATTCATCTTTGGTGCATAAATGAGCAGACGGTTTTGTTCTTCGTGTCCTTTTTTTTAAATTCTGCCGCTGATCCTTTATAAGTGGAGGGATTTTTGTAGTTTCCAGTTTCAAGATCATCAAATTTCATCTAAAGATTTTTTATTTCAACTTCGATTTTCCTACTAGTTCATCTAGTAACTTTAATCATTTTTTTAACCAAAACATTTCTACAGTATACCCTAAAATAGTGCTTTTGAAAATACTTGAGTAAATAAGGATTCTTTTGAACAGAATCTGTTCATTATGCAGTGACGAGGGGTTCTTTCTGCGTGCTTTATGCGCGCTCATAATCGTCCTCCATCTGGCACACCTCCCCGATAGATACCCCTCCCCTCCAACAGTTTGGAAGGTTGCTGCCTTCTGGCCAACATAATCTTAACAATGTCCCGATCCAGCGCAAATCCATCGAATGCCATCCGTGGCTCCGGTGTGCCATCCGTGGCTTCTACCCTCGTGGCTACAACTTGTCATTATCGATGATTATCCTTCAAAGTCCAGGGTCTCGTAGCTTTGACCTCTGACATGTTTCATTTCAATTGTAAGGGCGCGATCTCCCATTTCTATTAGATCTAACATGGTCTGGATAAACTTAATCTTTTCTTATCGGCTTTGTCTCCGGTACAAGTTCTATTGAACTTTTTTGAAAATTTTAAGGTGCTAATGTTGAGGAAGTTGTAAGGAAAAGGTTAAAGAAAGTGTAAAGTAAAGAGTAAAGCAAATTGTGAAGAACAGATTAACGTTAGCTAAAAATTTTGGTCCGTTAGGGGGGTCCATACCCACTCAAACGTTTGCTGAATAAACTTAAATCTATTCTTATCAGCTTACCGTATTCCCTGTAATAGTAGTGACTATTTTTTCAATCCCCTCCTAGACCGCAATACTATTAGAGAGAATACGGTAATCTCTGGTACGAGTTCTATTGGACTCATCGAGAATAATCAATTTTTGGAAATGGTACGGTTTGTAGAAGCTTGCATCTCGCCGTACAGCGTCGGCCCGCTATTGCACTAGTGGGATCGGCGCACACCTCCAGTGATGGGGAAAAAAAGACAAGAAAAAGAAATAGATTATTATCTCTTTTCAAACTATATTGTATTGGATCTAGTTAGTCTTAAAAGTCTTTTGTTTCTGTTTTATTGTTTGTTCTCTCTTTGTTTTATTAAAAACTAAGAACCCATTCAATTCATTCAATCGCCCCAGCGTAGTTTGAAGAAAAAATGAGCGAAAATTCGATCCGTTTTGTTCCGGTTAAGAGACAATTTGTTCCGTTTCGCAAATTCAAAAGCTTTTCAAAAAAAAACTGCAATAATAGTGCAAAATCTTTGGTTGTTTTGTGAAATCCATTGTTGATCAATGAATGGATTCAAACTTTCAATGCAAACTGAGCGTCAAATATTTTTTTCATTCAAGTTATGCCCATTTTTCCCCCAAAAACCCAGAGTTCCACTGAAACAAAAGTTTATTTTGAAATATTTTGCGACCAAACAACGCAGGAATGAATAGTTAACGACTTTTGTGAATCTTGTTCTTCGAAACACTATTTCAAAATGCAGAAGCCGTTTCTTGTAAAGAATTTAGCTTTGTGGGTGATCTTTGATGCATTTAAAAGTGCTCTTAAAAATCAAACTGCCAAAACAAGAAGGTTTTGATGTCATTTGACTCAACCTAAAACAATAGCAACTGGTCAGCATTCTAATGCACAGTAAGATGTCTAAAACTTTTTGAAAACTATTATAACTTTGTCTCTAATTAGTTCAAACTAGTTATTTATTTTTTTCTGATCCTGTGACGGTTATTAGAAGTTTAAAGCAATTGATAAACATTTTGTTTTTTTGAGTTTCCTTTGAATGTTCAAAACTCCCACACGGATCAAAATTGATTTTTTTCAGTGATGTTCCTGTTGGAGCATTCAATTTTTTGATACTGCCAAAAATGAGAATTAACAAAACATAATCGTGGAAATCTGATCGATTCATCCAACCGACCATAGAGTTTCCGGCTTTTCAAGTTTGCCTCTATTTTTCAAATACAAGCGCACCAAGAATCTCGTTCGCGATGGGTGCCTGGATGTTCACGTTCAGACCTGGCTTGTCTTCTGTTTGTGGATCAAGTCGAGCCAGGCGTTGGATCAGCTTTACCAGGATTTCTATGTAATATATAATATAAGATAAGATGTAATATAATATAAGATAATATAATATAATATAATATATATAATATAATATAATATAATATATTATATTATATTATATTAATATGTAATATATACGTTACGTTCGTTATTGAATCTATTCAATAACGGACGTCCGGTTCTGAATCGGACGCTTGTTTTTAAATCGTCTAACCTATATTTCAATAATTTCCAAACTTTTCTATTCTAATCCTCGAAAATAACGCATTTTTTTTCCTATTAGCCATTGAGCATCCATCAAACTTTAAAATTTATTGGCCTAAACGATCGAAAAGGAACATAACAACCACAACTTATAAAAGATTAAATAAAGAAAAAATATAATAGAAATGCAGAACACGCAAGTTCGCTAGGGTTCAAATTATGAATAGAAATTGAAATTATACTCGCTAACCCCCAAAAATCATAGATCATTACAAAATCTAGAAAAATCGTCAAAGGGTAGGTTGGACGATTTAAAACCGACATCCGATTTAGAACCGGACGTCCGTTAATGAATAGATTCGTTGTTTTGTTTTGAAACAGTTTTGAGGTTTTGAACCGGACAAAATGTACTAATTGGTTATTGGTTATAAGATTAGATTCATATGTACTAATTGGTTGATATGTACTAATTGGTTGATATGTACTAATTGGTTCATATGATTTGTACCATAAATTGCAAATTATATAAAAAAAGAAACCCTAAGCGCAAAATCGAATCAAAAATCCCCTGTGACGTTTTCGGAACTAAATTATGAGAGTGTGTCACCGGGTAGCCGTTGGCTTTCCTCCACTTTTGCGCTTTTTCCCATATTTTTGCTCATTTTTTCCCCTCTACGAAAAGGATCACCGAAACAAGAATCCACCTCAAAGTCACTCCATTAAAACGGAATCCAATTTTCCCCAGATTTTCTCATTTAACCCACGCATCAAAACATCTAAAGCCTCATTCACCGAAGCGCAAATTCTGGTGCCTGATGACTGATGCCTTCTTTTGTAGTTGTTTTTCTTCCCTTTGTTGTGAATTTCTTTTGTAGTCAATATTAAATGCAAATGTTCATTTAATAACAAATTTTTCAGCCATAAATGAATACGTTTTCTGTTTGTGTAAGCTTCA